ACAGCAGTGGCCACCCTAAACGTCGTTATGATTTGTTGGTATCGTAAGGAATATTTCATGGCCAAGTAACGCTCTATACTCAGCAATGCTAGTAGCGACAGTGATGCTAAGCAGGGGGCGAGAAAAAGGAACACTACTTTATTATATGCAGCACAGTAAACGGTTAATGAAGAACCTTTTATCAGCGACATTTCTTGAACAATGAAGCTCGGTTGCACTACAGCTCCCACCACCAGGTCAGTTGCCGCCAAAGCACACAACAGAATGTTGTACATAGTCTGAAGTCTGGGCTTTCTTTTTACAGCAACTACCACCAGAACATTCAAGCAAACGGTCATTGGACAAGTGACTATGTTGAGGATGACGGCTGCTAGCGTGGAGATGTAGTTTTCCTGGTGGTACTCTTCTTTCCAAATACGACAGTTTGCCGTCGAGGGAAGGATCGAACTGTTACTTAGATCTGAAGAATTCATCTTGTTTTAAGTCACAGTTTCGGTCTTTCTTCTATCTGTGTGGCAAAAAATAGATAAGGTAATACTAAATACAGCTCTTTTCTAGCGTTGCCCCTAAACCAGCTCTCTTGATCTGAAAACGAGAAGTAGCTTACACCACTTTATAACGAGTTGTCCTTACTCAAAATTGTAGTTTGAATAGCGGATTAAACTAGGCTGAAATTGGTCTAATTATAATTTACCCTTTTTTGTTAACGAAAAAGTAATTTACGCTATTTTGAATGATTTACAAATTAAACCGAAATCTCAAACTAACCGAAATGCATGAATGTTGTTCTGCCGAGGTTTTGTGGTTGTCTGTAAGTGGCATTCACTGATTTTTTTGTTTCAGATTGAATGGCATTTTGCTTAAATATAAATGTTTTTTTTTCCTTTTAATATCAGTGGGTGATTGCCAAAATAAATTAAAACTTTATAATATGGCGCTTTTAAGTTTTGACTATAAGAAGACAGCGGCGACGAAATTTCGAAATGGGACCACGTATGATTGATTATTATTATCTCCATTTTGGATCAAAACTGGATAATCCCGTTGGATAAACTGAGGATGAAATGAGGACTGTCATTATTCAAAATGCCGATTAATTTGTAAACTGCCTTTCTCAATAAAAAAGTAAAAATAATTAATTTGAAACGCGTAAGTCATTGTAAAACGTAAAAGGACAAACTAAAATGCAGCGCTTTTTGCTGCACTGTCCAGTTTTTAGCTGTCCTTCGGTGGCTAGACGCTGAAATTGGTCTGTTTCTTTCAGTATGAATAAAATAATGTCTTAATATTGTTCTTACTTTTTATTTCATCGATGTCAAAATATCGGTGAAATAAGTTACAAAATTAATCAAAACTTAGTAACATCGCGCCTATTGAGTTAATCTTCGAACAAAAGGTTATAATATCAAAGAGAACGATATGCAATGAAAAGACAATGTCTTCATTTTGGGAAACAAATAAGAAGCAGATTCATCATAAAATGTCATGTGAGTTTTCTTTTGGATCCAGCTTGTCCTTTTTATCAGTAGAACGCAAAAAAGTAAAGGGACTTTTTCCTCTGCATTTAGCTTCTTCAAAATTTTCCTGTCTAGTTCAAGCCTTCAACGTACTGGCTGGTTTGAATGAACAGTCTATCAAACTCCGGACCCGAGTCGCTAAGTAAAAGAGGAGATTACACAGTTCGTCAACCAGACATCTTAAATTTTCTTTTTATTTTAACAAACATGAATATTGCGTGCAACAGAACTTTTGAGAGTCCCGTCGGTAGCGTAAAGTTTTACCCATTGTATTGAGCCGTTTCTTAGTTGACTGTACTTTACACATTATTTATCACATCTTTATTTTAAAAAACTGCGATTTAAGCTACATGTTTTTTTTGCTTTTGCACGACAAAGTCTCCGGCGAACTTGATATGGTAACGACTTTCTTTGTTGTCTAAAAGAATTACCTTCCATGATAAAATGTTTCTTCGGGCTCGCAGCACTGAACATGGGAACATCAACAAAGTTCTGAGCGAAGACTGGAAGTTGCGAACATCTTTCGCACTGAAAATATTACTCCTTTCGCCCTTCATTACCATGAAATAATTTTAGTGAGCGTCAAGATTTCCGTCAATTAAACGATTGTGTAATCATTACAGAAATTAAACTAACATTTTTATTTTGTGTGTTCAAAAAAGATTTTTACATAGGGAAAAAAATTCAATATGCCAATAAATTTTCGAGTTAATGAAAATGTCAACAATCATTCAGGAGAGTAAAGAAACATTTTCATCATCTAAATGTTCGTTAACGTTTAATACAGTATCATTATTATCAGAGGTACCTAATTAGTGTTGGACCAAAATTAAAGCTCATGTTCCATATGCTCGCTTTTTCGACATTGTGGAGTTTTGGTTTGCGTGAACCTAAACAACTCTTGATGTTGTGTTCATTCTTTTATATTTCTGCTTCCCGGCTCCACTGACTGAACAATGTACGCACCTCGTGTTTGTTTGTGCAAGCACGACATACGCGATAGAAATGGAATATTACCCAAACTCACACAATCCGAAATGCGGTTATTACATAAAAGTGTTCAAACACAAAACAAGAAAAATAACATGTTAAGGTACCCGTGTGAAATACCTCCATGGAATTCCATGGAGGATTAAGACATTGATTTCCATGGAATTCAATAAAACTGAGACTGACAGATATATCAGTTGATAATTGAACGCCTAATAATTCGCAGAAAGTGCAATTAAGCTATAGATTAGAACAGACCTTTTAAAATATAATTATTATATATGTTTAGGAAATGGCTAAATATATAAAAATTGTGTTTTCAATTAATAAAGTAGTCGATAAGCATACCTATTGGCAGAGTGCTCAGTGGAAAAACTATTAAAATTTAATTGATATGTGTTTTGGAAGTAATTTGTGACATAATCTCTAAGTGAGCTCAATATTGAAAAAATCAATTAGTTAGGTTTTGGTTCAGCACTCAATTAATATTACTGAAACAGTGATGCTATGGGCCAGTCCCTCATTTGTCATGAGGTTGAAAGGGATTCTATTTGCTAAAGGAGCTGTGTCACAATATTAGCAAAGTCAGTCTCCCTGAGGAAAACATAAAAACAGCACTTTCAAAACATACAAAAGAAGGCATTGGTGAAGAAAATTGAAAAAGATTGAAATGTATGAAAAAATGACGATCTGAAGAGTCATATAGTTAAGTATGACGCTGTCACGATTACAAGTAATTTTCTCACTTTATAGATCTTCTGACAAACAATTTCCTTACTAAATAATTGTGACATAGCCCCTTTGATTTCTACACCTTTGTCCAGAAATGCAGCTAAAACCTTGGGTTAATATTTCAGACATATTGCGTTTACACTTGTAGGTGAGGATTTGGGCTAGGGGACAATTCGTGGTGTCGCCTGACGGAGTATTCCCTGAGATTTTGTGATAATTTTGTCATTTATTTCCGGTCTGATGGGATGTGTTAAAGGGACTGGTTCACGATAATGCGCATGTGTGAGTTCTGACAGTAGCTGATTGTTTTTCAACCAATCGGAAACGAGTTAGATGCACGCAAGTAAATTTACAAAATTCAAATTAATTGTTCGCGACGCGAGATTATTTCCGGGCATTTGGTTTGATTTTATTTATCCCCATAATTCAAGTTTATTCTTTGCTGCTCCTCAGATATATGTTGCAGCCGATAAGAATAAGATTTACGGCCCTGTCCTGCTTTGAAACAAACATTTACCAACGTGTATTTTTACGAGGTCGTACCCACGCTAACAAAACAGTCACCGATCGGCAAACAAAATTTGCAAACGAACATCTTATTACTGTTCTCTCAGTTCGCCTTATATAAACCCAGAAATACCTACAAATAGCGCCTGACCGGTGACGAAAACACACAACGTATGAGTATAAAGATTATCCTTAATTGAGCATAAATTTCAATTGCTTATCAGCAAATGAACAAATTTATTCGCGTTGCATCGGGTCAGTGTTCCGCAAAACAAATGTTATCGAGTAGCACACATAAAGAAACTAGATTATAAACAGAATATTCAGGCAATAATTTATTTTAAAAACATCAATTCTTAAACATATACGATCGTAAAGCAAAGATAGAAGGAACATTTCAAGTGTACCAGATCGGTGAAGATCGCGCGGCCTGTCGCGGTATAACTACAGGTCGCAGTCAAATATCAAATCAAAGTTGAACGAAATCATGCCTTTAACCACTTTCCAAGTGTCGTGTATTCTTTTCGTATGCCACACACTACTCCTAGAACCATACCAGATCGATATGCTAAGCTTCTCTATCTCCAGAGACTCTTGAGAACGTCCTGTTGCCGGACGACCACGATGCTCTTCTGAACCTCCATGATCAAAACATTATTTTTTGCGTCTTCTCAAAACGTAACCAGTCAAACGACACAACCGCACGTTAATCACTACTACCGAAGTATAACTAGAACAGCCAAAGCGACGGATGTCCGAATAAAACGAAGGATTTTCCACGATTGTATCGGTAATGGCGATTTCGAATTTAGTGTTGACCCGACAAATTTATTCTGAAGAGACAAACGGCGCGCATGCGCATTATCGTGAACCAGTCCCTTTAATCTTCAATTTTATTGCCCAGTGACTTGTCAAAGAATATACAACTTGTCATCTTGGCCTCTATGCATTTGCTCACAATTGGGGAACATCTAAATCAAGTTGTCTTGAGAGAACAACATAAAACTGCTCTATATGAAAAAGTATACTTTTGTACAGAAGGTTTTTGTTTTCTCTAGTCTTACGGTGTCTTCTGCTATATATCATTAAGGTCCACCTGAATGCCTGTATAAGACTTATAAAGGAAAATTATGTTTACCTATTAGCTTGTCTAGGGGTGTCCTCGCTGGCTCATTTTTTTAAATTTTTTTTCCCATCACTGAAGAAACTTTTAATGTCTTCTGAGCAAACATCATGGAAAGCAGTGTCCTTTCTGCCACACTAGGGGTCCTGCTGCTCTTCACTTCTGCACGTAACAAAGCCTAAGAAATGAAAGGGAAGGATCAGCTCTTCAGTGGTCCCAAGAGTTATCAGATACTACGCTTTCACGTGTTACCGTCTTTAAATATAATTTTTGACACTTTTATATTTATTACTTTCATTGTTCTTGCTTTAAGCCACGAACAACTGTTGCACTCACACTTAAATCTGCAAAATTACTTGAGACCTTAAAAAAATTTAAACGTTGTTTGCATCCCTATAAATTATCAGGTAAAGGATATGGAAATATATAATATAAGGTTAATAGCAATATAATTATAGAGTGACATTACTTTTGTTCTTGCAATAATGAGTTACAACACCACTGATTTTTATCAATTCAATTTCTAAGAGGAATAAATTACTTACATCTGCTGGGACTGTAAATTCATCAGTCACTTGGGGTGGATTCAGTGATTCGGGCTTACTACCAATATTATGGCTGTCTTGATCAGTTGGGTAAGGGCTATCGGTGCTTCCTGCTTCGTTGATTTCAATAGAGCTTGTGGAGAGTTCAGAGAAGCCCTGATCCGTCTCGCATTCGGCCTTCACCATGATCAGATGATGGGCGGACGGTTTTGGCACAGATACATTTGCAAGCGCAGATGCCCTTTTGGTATCCCATATTGGTGTATTTACTGAGCTATTAAGCTGTAAAAAGAATATTGACATTAAATATGAGTAATAGTAATTAAAGAAACAGCGGTGTGAAGGTTAAATCATGTTAAGTAAGAGAGATATATGTTCTGAAACAACATAGTCAAGACACTCGCAGTTGAACGTTCAAGCATTACAGTATTTGCAGCAATGTATTGATATTTAAGCCTTCCTGTCACTTCATGCAAAAACAGAGTCTGATCAATGTAATGAAGCTGCCATGCACTTTACGGTGAGACAACTATCAAGATGCTTTATGTCATCATTTTTGCCATTCAATAACCAAATCAAACTGACACTTGAGTCATTTTTTTCACGGCAGTTATGATACTTGAAATTATTTTCGGCTTACACTTGTTTGTAATGCCGGTTTTTATGTTCTGAGGACTGTACTTTTGGCCTTGGCATAGTTCACCTCTTAAATTATCCTTTGACAAAAACCTATAGAAATGTACCTGTCGACTGTTGTCCTTAATTTTCTTCTTTGGGCCTGCAATCTGCTCTTTTTCTGTTCCATTCTTCAGCAGTTGTTTCTTAATTGTTTACTTCCTGTTGGAACTTCTCTGTTTAGGTCAGATTGAAAGTCTTTGAATGGATTAAATTTCTTAGAAGACATTTACATCAAATTCAGGGAAACTGAGCTGGAAGAAATTTCGTAACTGCCTCGCGTGTGAATTCACGCAGTACTGCTCATTACGCGTGCAAGAAGAGATAGGACCATGTATGCACGCGGCAGCAAAAAATTGGAGAAATTGCAAAGTCAAGGGTTAAAGGAGGTCCTGCGTCGGAGCAACATTTCGTCAACAAGGCACTCAAATTTGTTGAAGAAATGTTGTTCAAACAGGAACTCAAGTCACCCTTTAACAACTTTGTAGACGTTTTTTCTTTGTTGATAATGATGTTGAATACATGGAAACTTCGAATAATTACTTACAAGTTTTTTTCCACTTTGCCGTAAATTCGCTTTACCGAAGAAAAGCTTTGTACAACCCAACATTTTGTCTCATTTAAAGGGAACATAAGAAAATTAGTCATCAGAAACCAACACCGCTTGTGGCAATCGTAAATCTACCCTTAATCATTACTCGTTTCACTACAACTATCACAAGGTAGTAAAGCTTGAGCTATCTGAGTCGAGGGACACTTCGTCCATACCAGGGTTAATAGGGATAGATGATTGATAACTAGAAGTGGCTGACATCACGGGATAAAATTGAACATAGCAGAAAGCTCTCTCCTTTGGGATAAACTGACCAGGCGTTGCAGGTGGCCGACGCTGTTGACCCAAGATTAATCTTGGGACATTGATTTCATTTTCCATTTCTAAACGTTGCCTTTCATTTCCCCAGGGAACAAAGGTAACCATTCCATCATCATCATTGGTCGGCTGCAGAGCAGGCGACTACGAGCTTCCTCCAGCCACAACGATCTGTGCCAATTCAGACAGCTTGCCCGGGCCAATCATGTTGTCTGTGTCTCCCAAAAGGTGTTGAATTTATCTGAGAAACAGGGTTCGTTGCCCTCCTGGTTTTCTCTTCCCATGTGGTGGAATATACAGTGCGTACTCCTTGCATGGCTCATCATCAGGCATCCTGAGTACATGACCCAGAAACCTCAGTTGGCGGGTTCTGACATTTTCTACTAGCGGGGCAGTCTGAGTTAGATCATAGATTTTAGCATTGGACACCCTATCAATTCTCTTGATGTTGAGCATAATTCCATAACATGAGGTACCAAAGGCATTGATCTCGCTTTCCATTGCTTTCGACAGGACCCACGACTCACAGCAATATAGAAGAACATTGACACAGGCAGTATTATATAGCTTGATCTTGGTGGAGATAGAGATGTTAGGGCATCTTCACAGACGTTCCAGCTTCCAAAAAGCTGTCCATGCAAGCCCTTTCCTTCTTTTGAGATCCCCACTACTAGATGCCATCATGGAGCCAAGGTATTTGAAGTCTTGTACATGGTTGATTGTACTACCATATACTTCTAGTGGAAGCTGTGGACAGCAGTTGATCGTTATATACTCAGTCTTGGGAGCACTGATGACAAGTCCAAGGTCAGCAGCAGCATTGGCAGTTCTGGTTAGCTGCGACTGAGCACGGGAGATGGATGACTCAAGCAAGGCGATGTCATCTGCAAAGTCCCAAGTCATTTAAAACTTTTGCAGGGTACCTACTTGATTTACGAGGGCAAGTCAGCACTCCAGAGTCTATATCACCATCTGTAGACCTTAGCAGCAGGTAGTCTACCAAGATAATAAAAAGAAATGGAGCTAATACTGTTCATATCCTGCCGTTAACAGGTTGATGGCAGGATATGAACAGCTTTGTTTTATTTGTGGATACCAGGAAAGCCTCTTATTTGCTCTGTTTGAAGGGAGTCTAAACCTAAACCTAATTTATAAGGATATTTCGATCCAAGTTACACGTTTAGACTGTAAATGTTGCAAAAATGAACTCTTACCGTTCAGTTTCTTCCTTGAGATCTGCGTAAACTTCTTACAGAACACATCAAGGCTCTTTTCAATGTTTGGCGTCTTACATTTCTTTCGGGGTACTTTCGGCTTGATTTTAACACAATCTCTACGTTCACTTTTCGTCGGTTCCTGATCATCCTCCAGGGTCTGACTATTATTATTTAGCGGGGACAGTAAAAAGAAGTAATAACGTTAATGGGAAGTTACAAGAAAAATGCAGTTGAAGCGTGGCTTTCCTAGTCACATATACTTCTTCTAAGAACAATAAAATTACAATGATGATAGCATGCAAGCTTGTCCGAAGAATACATGTTCTAGTTACATCATTAGTAACTCTTCACGAATGTTGGAATTCCCTTAAAATAAAGAATGCCAAAATTCTCAAATAACTGAAAGTTTGTCAACCACGGTTAAGATGGGTAAAACATTTGCATCTAATTTCTTACTATTCTATTAATGGAGGTGTGGGATAGTTAACGAACAACAACTAGTAAACAACAAGAGCAAAAAGCTTGTTTGGTTGGTTGATTGATTACCAACGCTTGATACACACCTCGATCTTCACTGCAGGTCGACTGGTGAGAACCAACACTCTCATTGTTATCGTGATCATCTGCATCATCATTGTCTACAGAAAACAAAACAAACCAAATAATGGAGAATTGCAAATTATCTGTGTTGCGGAGATTAGGTAATGAAATTAATAAACTCAATGTAATGCAGTTTCATTGAATATGCAGTGAATGAGACAGTTAAGTAAATCACCCAGTCCTCACTCCCCCAATTCAAAATAATTAGGATGGCTGTAAGGAACCTTTTCAAGTTTAAACATGAGCAGCGGGGGCCAAAAAGATAAAAACCTTACAGGCTTACCAACTTAAGGTTTCTCATCAACAGATGTAGCACTGGGTGGTTCAGATGTGGAAGGTATAGAGGAATTGATGATGAGAGGTGGTATGACCTGTGGCTTGTCGGACATTGTGGTGTCCATAATGTCAAAATACCTCCTTTTCTTTCTTCTCCCTGTTCCACTTTTGCTTGACTTGTCTTTCTTCCTGTTTATATTTTTGGCGTACTTTTTTCATTTTGGTAACTAGATCTTGCATGATGAAATTTTGAAAATTCCTATTTTCCATCTGCACCTAAAGAATAAGCAATAGAAGGCATATGAAAGACAGTCAGAAGTGTTTGCAGGTTGAATTAACACACATTTTCAGAAGCACTGCGGAAAAATAACAACTTACATATACCGGGCTACTAATTCATGTCAGTCTCTCGCACTGATTGGCAATTTAATGCCCCTTCTTACTTGAAAAGTAAAATCTCACCTCAAAAAGAAATTATTGAATACATGAACTTCCATTTGATAGAAACGTCTGTCTTGAGGTAACAAAAGTAAAGCTTTCCTCATTAGTCTGGAAAATAAGGCATTTTAAGGGACAATTTAGCCTCAGCGATTGCAAAGCCATTTCCACAAGTTAACCCAGTTAATCATCGCGCTTTGTAATACCTGTCGCAATTTGTAATAAATTCATCGCACTTTGTAATACCTGTTGCAATTTGTCATAAGCCGTGTCGCACTTTGTAATAAAAAAGGTATCGCAATTTGTAATAACTGTCCATCGCACTTTGTAATAAACTAAGCTGTCGCAATTTGTAATAATTCCATCCCACTTTGTAATAATTTTTTGAGAATGATTCAACTTACTTTGTCAACATTAATATAATGCCAAAATATGAATGGTACTTCGTAAACAAAGATGATGACGTCTGCAAGCACGTAACTTACAAAATTACTTTTATAATTTATGTCTCCGCTCATTCAAACCATTTAACTTTATACGCGGTCCTAACCATTTTTTTTAAAATTAATGTTGATTAGTTATCTGACGTACGAATTCTGTATTCTTAAACCTTGCTATTGTACTAGATGGTTTGCATGCAATGGTTACCTGGGGGTGTACTCCCTTATATGGCCACTACGGGGATGTGCCGCTGGACAGAGCGTTGTCAGAGTACAGAATCTAGATACAAACGAACCATTATTAAAAGGCATTTAATTTCCACAAATCGTAACAAATAAGGACCCCAGGAAAGCTTTCCTTGTTAGATCTTATAACAGGTCGACACAACACCGTCCTTGTCTAACGCGCAATCTTAAAAGAAGTAATAGTGGCTTCTATTTTTTGGCCAACTTAATCAGACGAGGCCTGTAAAAATTCAAAATGTAATTTACTGCAAATAAACAAAAACGTCACCAGTGGCAAACCGTCGAACCACAACAGAAACATAAAGTAATACAAAATCCAGTTAGTCGCTGGCCAATACCTTTGTATGTACTTGTTTTTATAAAACTCACTTGGGGTCATACACTGAGCCGGCTGACTATTTGGTCCATTATTCTCTCTTGATTCGGTCCCATACAGGAACAAAAGGAGTATCATTCCATCTTAAAACAATTTTTTTCTATGGGGCCCCCTAAAGCAAATACCGTTGGGATAGTAAAAATTCTCCTTCCCTGCGTACAACTCGTAAGACCTTGTAATTCTTCCGAGCGTGTTCAGGATTATTTTTTTCCACAAAATGGAAAGGATAAACCAAACCATCCATTACTACTTGAGTTACCCTATCTACGGATCAAACCAAAGACACAAACTGGGCACTAGAGCAAATGAGAAAATTTCCGGATACAATCGGATACGTGTGGACGCGAAAATTTTTGCATCCGCAAAAAAATATTTGCGGAAAAAAAAATTTCCGGATACGTGTGGACATGGCCAAACTAAAAAATTAAGATTAAGTGTCCATCTTAATTGTCACGGAATGTTATAATCTCACACAGTATCTTTCATCAGACACAGTGTATACGAAGGTATTTGGTAACTCGTTTATAGTAAAAGCAAAGTGTCGTGCCAGCATGAGTATTCGAGAAATTCACGAACTAGAAGTTTCACTCAATGTAACTTCTGGGAGTGTACGGGAAGCACACTGTACTTCCAGAGCTGGCAAAAGTGGATACTGTAATCATGTGATGAGTCTTCTACTTGAACTCGCTCGTTACTCTTTGGAAGACTTTGACAGGATACCTGAGGAAGCAGCATGTACAAGCATGTCAAGGAAATGAGGTATTCCTGGTAAAGTATAAATTGATTTCAATTAGCTGCCATTACCTACCTGTACCTTTGGGCAGCTCAGCTGCAAGTAGTTAACATGCTCGGTTTTCGTCTGCTAGCAGAAGAATTAAACTGATATTAGCATAGGTGATGCTGAAGCACGTCTTGATAAAGTTGTATGATGTGTCTGAAAGTTTTGATGTGACTTAAGCATTATTCACATAGTGATCAAACTTTTTTCTGTTGTTGTTATAAGGTAAGAAAGGTCTGCCTAAAGAACCCATAATGAAGACATCAGTTCAAAAGGATTTAACGAACAAGGGAATAAAACCAACTCTGTTTGATCCAAGAGTAAAGAAAAAAAAAAGATTAGACATCCGTGGAGTTCAAGTAATGCAAAAGGAATTGGAATCAATTCATCCTCTTATTGGTTTTTCCCATGTCATCCCAAAAAAGCCTGAATTGGTGACTAATATATAATAGAGTCATTATGAAATTAATAGAGTTTATGATTTTAAGTATTTAGGCATCGTTCTTGACGATAGTCTTACGTGGAAAGGCCTTGTTCGTTATGTTATTTCTAAGGTTGGTAAAAGAGTTGGTGTCTTAGGGCGCCTTAGAAGGAATATCACTATACATGCAGCTTTCGAGATGTATAATTCATTAATTTTGCCCATTTTTGATTATTGCGATGTTGTTTGGTCCAGCTGCAATAAAGCAGATATGGAAAGTCTTGAATCTTTGCAAAGGCGGGCCTCGAAAATTATAGTTAAATCTAAATGTCGTACAACATCCGCCGACTATCTTAAATTTCAGAGTTTAGAAGATCGCCGTAACGCTCATATTTTAGGTTTAGTGAAGAGGTGTTTAAATAATGATGTACCATAGTTTTTAAAGAATTATTTTAAGTTGAATAAGGAAGTTATTTCAAGAGAAACAAGAAGAAGCAATTTTATATACGTTCCTGCAGTAAGAACTGAGACCGCCAAGAAAAGTTTTTATTATAATAGCTCAGTTGTGTATAATAATTATTTAGTAAATAAGAATTAGTTTTAATTGTTATACTGTACTATTATTAACTTATAGTTACTTAGTTTCTTATTATTTATTTTGAACTTTTTTATTAGTCTTAATTTAGGGCTCCTATTGATAACAGATATACTTTTAAGTATTCTGAAGGGATTACCCTAGTTAAATAAAGGTTTACTGCTACTATAGACACCAGGTAGGGACCAGTGGTCATTGGATCTCCCCTCTCTTTTCATTTAAGTTCTTTGGAATTCAATTTCACTGTTGTCACTAACCTGGAACCGGCAGTTAACCCTGCTCAAGCAGATTCAAGTGACATTTACAAAGTAAGCTTGCCATTCCATTTCCCAGATTTACCTGAAGCTGTTCATTTCAGTACTGTACAAAAAAAATTCATTGAACACTTAAGAGTAACTCACCAAGAAAGTATTGATATTGAGAAAAGGACTGTTAAGCAAAGGGAATGTGATGAGTTGATAAAACACCGCAAAAATAGACTTGGATCATCTGTGTGTCACAGAATATATGTAAGGAAACGAAGTTTCAATAATCTTGCCAAGAAACTTAACCAGTAATTTAAGCCTCTAGATGAAATTCCAGCAATTCAGCAGAGAAAGCTAAAGCATGGCATAAGATTTGAGCCAGTTGCAAGAGAAAAATATTATGATGTCATGAAGCACTATTTGAAGAGGCCAATTACCTTGAGAGAGACAGGGGTGCATGTTTTGGATTGAAGGCAGTCCTGATGGTCTTGTTATTGATCCATGTTCCTCATCTGGGAAGATAGGGACAATTGAAATGAAATGTCCAGAGGGAAAGAAGAACCACACCCCAGAGGAGGCGATGCAAGATGAATCGTTTTAAATTGAATTAGTTGATGGTTAACCCAACCTGAAGAACGATCGTCACCTAGGATATTACACCCAAGTCCAGCTAGTTATGGGTTTCTGTGGTTTAGAGTGGGTTGACTTTGTAGTCTATCTATTTAAAGGGATGATCATCACAAGGGTTCCATTTAATAAAGATTATTTTGACCAAGTAGTATGTAAAGTAAACATCTTCTATGTAAAGTGGTTTCTTCCTCAGGTCATGGCCTAAATGCAGTTTAGTATACTGTGCAGTGTGCCTGAACAAACGATGACGTTACAACGTGTACCAGTTTTCCATAGTATCTAGCTTTTAGACTCCTGTTGATGGGTGTTAGGGCTTCAAGGATAAGGTTACCTTGCTAGCTGCAATGTTATTACAGTACAGTAAAAACCCACGTATAAGAAACCTAAAATTTAAGAACTTGTTAGGCTATAATGTTTATTTGAAACCCCCTTTTCATAATAACCTATTTAGCCTAAAATTTTCAATAGGTTCATATTTTACAAAGATGAAAATACGGAGAAAAACTTTTAGGGTTTCAGTCAGTAAGATTCAAACAATGAACTGAAATGAAAACCATATTATGTCTTTGCCAATACTGGATTACACAATGCAATTATTAAGAATACAGATCCACGTGTCTCTCATATGCCCGAGAGTAGTTATCTGTGCTGATCGCTAGTGCCCCTATCAAATTAAGAACCTGTTTAAGAACCTAAGTAGCCTAGAATCCCACTAAATACCATTTCTATAAGAACCTATTTAGGCTAAGCTGGAAAAATCTAGGTTCTTGTATGCAGATTTTTACTGTATTTTATTGACAATATACGAGAAGGAGTATTTCATAGAATTCTTAAAAAAGATGACTTCCATGGCAAGAATATTAAAAGTATTACATGTTCAGCAATTACTTGACAATTTCTGTTCAATTTCTATGAGAGCAATGATTTGTGCAATAATCTCAAGAAAGGTACTGTTGGAAAATCGTGGAAATTCAATTATTGCAAAATATCAAATATTCTAAAAGGGAAAGTGTTTTCATTGACAAAAGAAATGCTAGTTAGTCTTGAAAAAGGGAAAATTCAGTTTTGTTATTTATTCATAAACCGACTTGACCCTTGTAAATCATTGGGCACTTTGAAGGAAATGATGATAAAACCTTCTCAAACTCATTAATAATTCATTAAGAAAATACAAAGGAAATTAATGTTTAATGAGTGTTTGGAAATCGGATGAAACACTGCTTAGTATTTGCATCTTTAATTTCTCCTTCAAAAATGATTTTGTTTGAGAAGAAATATCAAACATTCGACACAGTGTTTCATCACCAGATGAAACACCTCGAAGTTCGTCAAAAATACTCCGCTGCGCGTCGTATTTTCAACTCTCTTCTCGGTGTTTCATCTGGTGATGAAACACTGCATCTCATGTTTGATATATTACATAACATTATTGCTTAATAAGCGGGTCCATAAAGTTACATAGAAGACAAGCCACTGTCCATATTTGGTTTATGGTCCCGTTCATATTTAGTGGAATTTCACTTTAAATTTCTTGATGTGAGGAATAATACGTTCTACATGGATTCTAACAGAGGCAATTGTTTGCCCAAATACAACATCTTCTTTGTCAAGCTGCTCTTTGCCATCAAGAAATGCAGGTATGTTTAACTTAACTCCTAGTGGGTCAAGTAATTCCTGGATTGTAAATCCTCTGTCTGCCATAATTGAATCCCCTTTCTCCCAAAGTTCTGGGTGTAGTATACCACACCTGGAAACTATTTCCTTATCTGACAGCGATCCAGGATACAACTGACTCACAAAAGTTATAGATCGAGAAGGACTGATGCCCACTAAAGCTTTGTATGTTACATGATTCAGACGCCGAACTTTTCATGTACTTAATTCAATGTAATAGAATCGGCTCGTGAAAAGATCGGCGTCTGAACCGGGCCTAAGAGTGATCAGCATCGGTTGTGAGACAGGCTGGTGATGAGAAGTAAGGACATGATTACACAAGGTGAATTCTATACTTTGACAATTCTTCACTGCTTCTATAGGAAATGTAAAGTTTTGATACCAGGGTTCTTACGGGTAAGAAATAAAAAGAAAGCTGAAAGATCTACGAAAAACAAATAAAGCAAAGATTGAAATAAATCAGCAGCATCGGGTAATTTATCCTTAACGGCACATATATGTTAAGTTACAGTTTACTTGGAACAGTCTTCTTGGGTAACTGTCTATCCAGTGTTTTTCTTTCCAAGTAGTTCCAACATGGCTTTTCGAAGAACTGAGCTTCTCCAGCAGTAAATAATAGGGTTGCACAGTGAATTGATCAAGACACAAGATAGCAAGAGGGGCTTAAAACTGATAAATAGATTGCCAAGGTAATTGTGAAGAGGAAGTGGGGGCATGAATCTATACACCAGTGACGGCACAAATGAAGATACCGCAAACCCAACGATGATGGTGGTGGTTATCGCAGCCTTCTTATCCTCCAGGAATTTCTTCGCCGCGTCTTGCGAAACTTGTTGGGACTTGATTTGACGGGTGTGGCGACGAGTTACTGAATAGACAGAGATGTGGCAGTAAAAGATCGCAACGAGGCTCACAAACACTATCGATACGGCTATAGACAAACCCTGAGCGGCCAGGCTGGCTGAATAAATGAAAACTGGAGGAAGGAGTGCGACAACCCAGCAGCTAATAACAGCAGTGGCCACTCTAAACGTCGTTATGATTTGTTGGTATCGTAAGGAATATTTCATGGCCAAGTAACGCTCTATACTCAGCAATGCTAGTAGCGACAGTGATGCTAAGCAGGGGGCGAGAAAAAGGAACACTACTTTATTATATGCAGCACAATAAACGGTTAATGAAGAACCTTTTATCAGCGACATTTCTTGAACAATGAAGCTCGGTTGCACTACAGCTCCCACCACGAGGTCAGTTGCCGCCAAAGCACACAACAGAATGTTGTACATAGTCTGAAGTCTGGGCTTTCTTTTTACAGCAACTACCACCAGAAGATTCAAGCAAACAGTCATTGGACAAGTGACTATGTTGAGGATGACGGCTGCTAGAGTGGAGACGTAGTTTTCCTGGTGGTACTCTTCTTTCCAAATACGACAGTTTGCCTCAGAGGGAAGGATCGAAATGTTACTTAGATTTGAAGAATTCATCTTGTTTTAGCTCACAGTTTCAGTCTTTCTTCTATCTGTGTGGCAAAAATAAATAAAGTAATAGTAAAGACAGCTCTTTTCCAGCGTAACCCCTAAACCAGCTCTTTTGATCTGAAAACTAGAAGTAGCTTACACCATTTTATAACGAGCTGTCCTTACTCAAAATTATAATTTGAATAGCGGATTACACTTGGCTGAAATTGGTATAATTATAATTTACTTCCTTTTGTTAACGAAAAAGTAATTTACGCCTTTTTGAATGATTTACAAATTAAACTGAAATCTCAAACTAACCGAAATGCTTGAATGTTGTTCTGCCGAGGTTTTGTGGTTGTCTTTAAGTGGCATTCACTGAATTTTGTATTTCAGATGGAATGGCATTTTGCTTAAATGCAAATGCTTTTTTTCTTCTTTTAATATCAGTGAGTGACGGCCAAAATAAATTAAAACTTGGTAATATGGCGCTTTTAAGTTTGACCATAAGGAGACAGCAGCGACGAAATTTCGAAATTGGACGGCGTATATTATTTTGATTATTATTATTATCTCCATTTTGGATCAAAACGGGATAATCCCATTGGATAAACTGAGGATGAAATGAGGACTGTGATTATTAAAAATGCCGATTAATCGGTAAACTGCCTCTCTCAATAAAAAAGTAAAAAATATTAATCTGAAACGCGTAAGCCATTGTAAAATGTAAAAGGACCAACTAAAATGCAGCGCTTTTTGCTGCACTGTCCAGGTTTTAGCTGTCCTTCGGTGGCTAGACGCTGAAATTGGTCTATTTCTTTCAGTACAAATAGAATACTGGCTTAATATTGTTCGTACTTAAATATCGGTGAAATAAGTTACAAAATTAATCAAAACTTAGTAACATCGCGCCTATTGAGTTAATATCTGAACAGAAGGTTATAATATCAAAGAAAACTCGAAAGAGAACGATATGCAATGAAAAGACAATTATATCTCTAGTTTGGGAAACAAATAAGAAACGGATTCATCATAAAATGTTATGTTATGTAAATTTTCTTTTGGAGCCAGCTTGTCCTTTTTATTAGTAGAACGCAAGAAAGTGAATGGACTTTTTCCTCTTTATTTAGCTTCTTCAAATGACCTATAGTTTTCCTGTCTAGTTCAAGCCTTTAACGTACTGGGTAGTTTTAATGAATAGTATTCTATTCACATACATTCATATTCATGCTCAGTTCTAATAAGGTATGGGAAAAAAGATTGATCAGCGGACTAAGCCAAGCTGGGACACCTTGGCTTAGGAAGAGTTCAAGATACGACTCACGCGATTTTTGGGCGGGACTGGGTGGGCCGTCCACCTCTTCGCGGCTCCGCTGAAAAACTGAGCAAGAATGGTCTATTTTCGCGCCAAACCAGAATTTATTATCGGTAATTACGTAATCGCACGTGAGACCGCTAGACTAGCCATGAAAGAACCCATTATTGAATTATTTTAACCTCGCATATCATTATGAGTGTTGTGAATAGTATTCTATTCACATACATTCATATTCATGCTCAGTTCTAATAAGGTATGGGAAAAAAGATTGATCAGCGCCCAACAGCCCTCACTGTTCCTTAAATAGTCTTAGATAATTGCACTCCGACTCTCAAATCCTCTTACAACTTCCCAATCCTCAATCCTCCAACCCCTCTCATAACTTTAATCCCCAAGTACAGTAAGACACAGCTATACGTTTACAATTATAATCAAACTAAACTGGTATGAGTTTCCATAACAACATCTCTTCATTAAAGAAACGATAGTACAAAGGTTATAATCCATTCCAAAAACACCCTAGCCAAACAAAGTATCCTCATTCTGCTGGGCGTTTCCTCTGCTCAGCAGCTGGAAAAGCACACACAAAACGTTTCAGCTGATTCACATCCTGCCATGGAGCCACCACATTCTCAGCAGAAGGCGTAGCAAGTCGTCCCGACGGGCCATCATGTTTCAGAACCTTGGCCAGCTGAAGGTAATATAAGGCGGTATGCCTCCTAGCCCAACCCACGTGTTCCATAATCTCAGACAGATCCGCTCCTGTGAGGGCCAACGTTATCGCACAACCCGAACGAAAGCCATGCAATGTCTCACCATCATCAGCTTTCATCTGCTTGAGATACACTTTAAGACGCGCATCTGCTGCTGAAGAACTAAATGGAGAATCTTGGACACCATTATTAGAAGTTGTCGGACGAAACAAATATCCCTTTGTTAAATCAACGCCTAACTCCCTTGCCACTTCGACATATTGCTCAACGCCCTTCACAGGACAGATGACCGACTGGGGATTTCTGCGAACACCAAAGACATTACTGTCACCATCCCGCAAAGTCTTACCCCAGATATGATTAAATAAGAACCCATCATCATTTGGAAAACGAAGGATCTCCGGAACTTTTACCTGACCAAGATCTCCTGGGCGGTCCCCACTAAAGAACGCCAACTTAAAATAAGCTTGGTCACGTGCGATAATGAAACGGTCAAGTTTCGACTTTGATCTCGCTAGCTCGCCTTCAAGATACTTCGATAACTGAGTCAATTTGTCCACAAAGAATGGCGTGGCTTGTTTTGGAGTAACACGGGCCTGTAACTGCTCCGCTGTGACAAGACGAAGGTAATCTTTAACCAATTTATCAGAGGCTGGGTTACCAAGACCTAGCCGCTTGTCCCACTCTCCGTCCCGACCAATGGAATGGAAAATCGATCTTAACTTTCCTATGTAAGAGTCCACAGTCTTGTACGACAATCTCAAGGGGCAGCCACATGACTGTTTACCATGCTGACCCAAAAATTCACACGTATTGAGGTGTACCTGTGTTTTGCCACGCTTGTCTTTAAAGATCAGGAAGCGACACAAGTCCCTAGGCGTCACTGTCGCGAGAGTAACAAAACCCGGCAGAGCACCAAGAAAAGCCTCAAGTTCCCTCTGAAGAGAATCCTTCTGCTTTTTATAACTGGTTGCCTGATCGTAGTGAAGTAACTGCTGCAACCGCACTTCAATTCCATCAAGGTCAACGATAACATCAGAGTGTTCCTTGCCAAGCGTTGTCATAACCTTTCGCTTGTAGCCACAACGTTGACAAAAACGGAAGTCAAAATCATTAGCGTGTCCACAGGTTGGGCATTTAACCGACTGGACAAACAGCTTTGCCATGACTGGAAGCTCCTACAAACCAGAAAAGAAGAACCCTATCATACACCACAAACCAGTAGCACAACAGGTCAAAATGTATGCCAAGACACACCTAAAAACACACTGCAAAAACCCAGAGATCTCCAGGAATGCCCTTGTGAGGCAGCCACCCCTTTTTGGACGGGACCAAGAGAGCGTTGCCATCGCCACGAACAGCCAGACATCTACTCTTTACAGCTTTATTCATAAGGAGAGGCCACCAGTACTTCTTAGGAAACACGTCCAGCACCACTACTGTGCACGACTGTTTAAAACTCTGCAGAAATTTTAAGACAGGTCCCGTTAAGGCCATGGGAGGAAAAACATACGGTCTGGCCATAAGCGCTCCGAGGGAAGCAAGGTCCTGTGTGAAGAGATTTACACCAGACGATCCGGGAGAGGGAATCGGCGTAAAATGAGGGAGAGAATACCCGTGCGCATCCGTCATACTATTCGAATCCAAGGCCATAAGGTCGCAAGTATGGCCTTCCCTACCACCAAACTCCTTCTGAACAATCTGCCACAAGCCATCCGACAATTTACTATCTGAGTGGGACAGGCGCCTTGATGGAGCATCAGCAGGATTCTGACCAGTCGGAATGTAAGACATGTGCAGAGATAAGCTAAGCTTCGACGTTGTGAAGAAAAGCCGTTTCAATGCCATATTAAGCTCCAAGCTTCTACCACCCTGGTTGTTCCAAGCCTCGACAACGGCCTTATTGTCAACAAAAGCATCAACTCTAGCATTGAACAGTTTGTCTTTAAAAGCCATTAACGCCATGTCGACCGCAATAGCTTCCTTCGCGGCGATCCCCCATTTGCACTGCTCTTCCGTCCAATAATCTGATATTTCCTCACGATGAGGGGCTAACAAAATAGCACCCCAGCCTGATGCGGAAGCATCAGTTGCAACGGACACACGAATATGACGCTCATCCCGCCATGTTACCGGATCATCCCAACCCTCCAAAAACAGCCAATGGGAGATCTCCTCACGCAGATCCCCCCTGATGGGTATTAGCCTGTGGGGAGTACGTTGGCCACCGGCAATAGCTGCATTCATCTGCTTCGTAAACAACTGGGCTGCAGGTACTGCTAGACTAAAAGAGACACATTTCCCAACCAGGCGTTGCAAGGTTTTCACCGTAACCTTAGAGGCATGGAGTATTTCACGGACAAGTTGCAAGAATTTCTCCTTCTTTTCCGGCTTTAAGCAGAACACCTCCCTAGAAGAATCCGCTAAAAAACCAAGGTAGGGAACCACTTTACTTGGGAACAATATTGACTTTTGCAAACCAAGGAAATAGCCCAAGCTGACAAGATGGTAAGCAACAAGAAATATAGCCGACCTAGCCGCCGCAAGATGACGATCATCAACAGTGTTAATAGTAGCGTATTCCCCCTTATCGAGTGCCACCTGCAGTTCGCCATTGTGTCGATCATCGATGTAGAGCAAACAAGGGATTCCTATAGCTCTAAGGAAATTACTAGCCAACAGGCCAGTAGTATGATATACAAACGGGGAGATCTTCCACCCAAAAGGAAGGGTATTATACGTGAAATACCACCCTCCCCATTGGATCCCAAAATACGTGCGGCTGTCTTCAGAAAGAAGAATATGGTCATAGCCAGACTTATCGTCTAGGACCGTTTGGTAGGTATCCTTGCCCACGTAACGCGGTAAATCTATCAGCCTGTCTAAAGAGAAAGGCATATCACGCATCCATAAATTAAGATAGCGCGCATCGTGACATAACCTTGGCT